GGATAATATGGGGGTGCTGGAGACGGGGGACGTCGAGCCCGCCCACATGCGTTTCCGTCCTCCCCAATTGTCTTTTCCATTCCTCCATGCCGATAGGACCACCCTACGGGTGATAAGGAGGTTGGGGGGGACGGGAGAAGCGGTCGATTCTGTGGTTTCTTAAACTTTTCACTGTCGTGTACATTTGTCCATCTATCTATCGACCTATCAATCTAGTTGTCTTTTTTTGAAGATGTATATCGATATAGGTATCTCTATATTTACACATATCAATCTAAATACCAGTCTAGCATAATATCGATCAATCGATCAACAAGTCAAACTAACTACATGCGTATATGTATTTACATATATGTATATATTTATATCAATATATATATATATGTCTACGTGTATCTTTATCTCCGTATGTGTGTACATACATATATATATGTATATATCTGTGTATATATATACACATCTCTATAGTTCTCTCTCTCTATATATACCTCTATATGTATCAATCTCTCTATGTATCTCTTTATCTCTCCATCTATCCTTTGAACCATCGGGACAACCATCGGGGCAACCATCGGGACAACCATCGGGACAACCATCGGGACAATCACAACCATGGGGACACCAGCCAGGGCAACCGGGGGCCACGTCGGCGCTCGGGGGGTGGCCCTTTCGGCAATACATGGCCTCTGCTAGGGATGGAACTCGCGCAGCTTCGCCCCTCGCCCCCGCACGCGACACGAACCTGAACCGAAACCGATTGCCCGGTTAGGGTCACTTCCGTTCCAACCGCCCAACCTCCGATCCTACCCTCTCCTCCTCCCTGCTCTCCCCTTCCCCTCCGGCGGGGGAGGGGGGAGCAGGAGGAGGGATGAAGGAAGTTGGGAGGCAGCTCCTGGGAGGCCTTCGTGGGAACGACTAGAGGAATATTTAACTCGATTGCAGGGCTGTTAGGCCGGACCAAGCTGGACTAGACTCAGGATTAAGCTGGATTCAGCGAAATTAAATGTCTCTCGTCCAAGAATCCAACAGCGCTCTAGAAGGGAGCGGGGGAGCCAGGATGAAGAGACGAGGCTTGGGAAATGAGTTAATGATGGTGGTGGGCAGGTGGGGGATGTTATTCCTCTTCCTCCTCCCAATGCTGCGTTTGCTCATTCTTCTCCCAGTGCTCCGTCTGCTATTCCTCCTCCTCCACCTTTTCCTCATCCTCCGCATACACGGGGCAGTCATGCCGCTCTTTTTGGGTCGTCTTGAAGCCCACCCCACCCATCGCGGCAGCTGGGCCCACTTAGGATTTATTCGTATACTCTCAGAGCCATGTTAGAACCATCTTGGGCTCTTTCGGCTCTCGCGGGGCCGTATCGGGACTTCACCGTGCAGCTGTAATGTTTTCTGTGCCCATTGCGGGAGCGTTTAGGAATCCCTGGAAGCCTTCCAAGGCCATGTTGGGTTCCTTCCGAGAGCCTCCTCTGGCTTGGACCCATTTCGGCCCTTCTGGGTCGTGCCGGAACTCTCTTGGGGCCCTCTGGGTTTTCTTCCCCTCTTGGGCTGCATTGGGCCTCTACTGGGCTCTTTTTGTGACGTCTTGGGGCGATCCTGGGATCTTGGAGGCTGTGAAAACCAAACAGGTGATCACACCAACTTTTAAACATCGATCGTTTTTTCAATGATTTTGGCCTCCTGGGTGCGTGGGTTTTCGAGGTCCTCTTGGGTCCCGTCGGAGCGCTCATGGTGTTTTGGGAAAGACTTTTGGGTTGGCTTGCGGTCGTTCCTGGAAGGGGGGGGACATGAAGAAGGGGACAAGGGAGGGAAGGGATGCGCGGGGGAAGGAACACGAAAGGTGGCCACGACGTGGGGGTCGTTTGGAAGACCGATCGGGAGGTCTTGGAACTGTCTTGGCGTGCAGGAGAATTGTATGGATGATGATGGTGATGGTGATGGTGATGGTGATGATGCCGATTATGACGGTGATAATAATGATGCTGCTGATGATGATGCTGCTGATGATGCTGCAGCTGACGATGTCGACGATGATGACGGCGATAATGACGATGACGACGATGATGAGAATGACGACGATGATGAGGAGGAGTAAGAGTAAGAGGAGGAGTAAGATGATGATGATGAGGAGGAGGATGAGGAGCAAGAGGATGATGATGATGATGATGATGATGATGATGATGAGGAGGAGGAGGAGGAGGAGGAGGAGGAGGAGGAGGAGGATAATGATGAGACTGGGAGCCTGTTGGAAGCTTTGTCGGGGGTGGTCTCTTGGGGCGTCTGAGTGGCGTCTTGGGGGCCTCTGGGGCCCTCGTGGGGGCCTGCTGACGGTAAGAGGCCCTTTGAATGTGTCTTGGATTCTCCTGCGGAGCTTCTGGGAACATCGGTTTAGATGTTCCAGGGAACCTTTCTGGGAACATCGTATGGGATGTGGACGCGAGGCCTCTTAGAGGTTTCTTGGGATCCCTCGGGGAGCCTCTCGGGAGGCAGTCGGAAGCATTTTTGGGGCCCCTGGGGGCCTCTTGGGGCACCTTGGGGGTGCCATAGGGGCCTCCAAAGGCCTTTTTGGGGCCAGTTGGTTGTTCCCGCTACTTTGGGAGCGTCCTGGGCCCTCTTGGGGGGCCTCTTAGGCCGTTTCAGTCGTGGACCTCTGCGGCCGTCTTGGGGCGATCTTTGGGGCCTCTTAGGCCGTGTTGGGCGGTCGGACAATATTCTGTCACCATCCACAACTCAAGAGCTTCACCTTCGAGTGAGAACTCAACGTGAGCATGGCACTGCAACGGCTATATGAACCCACGGTCCGAGTTCTTTCACATGAAACATCGTGCGAAACATTGTGCGAGCTTGTTTGCAGGGTTTGCTACCTACCAGTGTACGGGCGGTAATTCGGGCCCACGACCTATCGTGATCAGGTGTCGTGAATCGTCTATGGCGCACAGCGGTCCCCGCAGGGCGGAAGTTGGCCAAGAAGCGGTGGACAGATCGACTCAGCAGAGCCTCAGGCCAGACGCAGTGGCGCTGGTGCTTGCACCGGCCCGCACAGGAGTCAGGCACTGGGCGGTCGAAGACAGGAGACGCGATCCGCCACAATTCATAAACAACAAGTTTCAGCATAATCACACACTCTTGCTTTTAGCGCCCTCGAGGGGGTCTCTGGGTGTCCTCTCGAAGCGTCTGGGGAGCTTCTGGAGCGCCGTCCCCGAGCGTTTCGGGAGCCCTTATGGCGACCCAGGTGCATTCTTGGGCGGTCTGGGGCCCATGCGGGGGACGACCTTGCAATCCTGGGCCACTTGGGGGCCTGTGGCCGTCTTCTGAGCTCTGGAGGGGTTGGGGGGGAGGGTCTGCAAATCTGTGAGGGGTTTCTGGGTGTACTTTTACAAGGAGAAGGAAAGTGTATCGGCTGGCCGTTTGGGGGGCCAACGGGCTGCGTGGCCCAGGCTGTCCTGTTCCCTACGCCAGTTCCTCCAGAAACCCCCGAAAACGCCAGAACACCTCGAGCGATGACCTCCCCTCTTGCCCTCCCAGACGTCCTCCGACTTGATCTTTGCAATCTGCTGCTCCAGAGCTTCCGACCCCCTCCCCAGGGTCAAGTTTTCGTCCCGCATCCATTTTTGATGGCCCCAGGGCCGATGACGGGCTCCAGAGGCTGACATCGAGAACAAGCCCAGGGATTGAAAACCATGTCGTCGGAGATCTGGGCCTCTTGTGTAGTTTTTTGGGTACTCTTTGGAGCGTCAGATCCCGACATTCCTGAATGCCTCTTCCATCGTGGGGGTCGTTTTCCGAGGTCGGCGGCACTGGCCGTAAGGCCTCAAGAATCACATCGCCGAGATCAAGGCCTGCCGTCTGCGGGCGGGAGCACACCGCGCGCGAGGCCGCGCGCGCGCGATGCCGGCGGGCCGCCTGCGCGCAGCCGCGCGCGCGGCCCCCCGCGAGCCAGCAAGCGCCGGCCGCGCGGGCGGCGCCGGCCGCGCCGGCCGCGCTGGCGACCGCCGCAAGCGGCGCGCGGCCGCCGCGAGCGGCGCGTCGGCGCACCGCTGGGGCCATGGCGCGCCGCTGCGCCGCGGCGGCGCGGCCACCCCGGCCCCTTGGGCAGCGAGGCGGCAGCGGGCGGCGGCGAGGCGGCGGCGTGGGCGGCGGCCTGTAAGGGCAGGCTCTCGCGGAGGGCAGGCCCTTGCGGAGGGCGGCCTGCTAGGGTAGGCCTCCTCCCCATCGTCCATCCTTTCTGCCTCCTCCTCCTCCTCGTTCTACTCATCGTCCTCCTTTTCCTCCTCTGCCTCCTTTTTCTCCTCATTATCGTCCTCTCCCTTCTTCATCCTCTCGTGCCTTCGAGATATGCCCATCCAACTAACCTCCCCTCCCACCCTTGCCTCCTTCTCCTCCTCCTCTTCCTCCTCCCCCTCCTCTTCCACCTGCGACCCTCCGCTATCCAGCGACTGTCCCAACTCGCACAGGATCCAAGGCATTATCCTTATTTTCATGCTTCTCCTGCGAGGAAGAGTGGGGGAGGAAAATGATTCTGATGATGATGAGGGAACGTATCAATGATCTCACAACAACTGTACACACCCATCGATTTGTGCGTGTCATCCCTGCGCAGGGATCTTGTCCCAAACGTCTGAACAACGAGCCCTTCAGTTGGGAAAGCGGCAGGCGGCACCAGGCAGCAGCGAATAGCAACACCGATGTTGAGGATGATGATGACGATGGGGAGGAACATGAGGACGGATGATGGCCTGTGTGAGGGGGGAGGCTGAGGAGCAGGAGCAGGAGCAGGAGCAGGAGGAGCAGGAGGAGGAGGAGGAGGAGGCGGAGGAGTAGAAGGAGGAGGAGCCGTGGCGCCGAGGGGGGCGAAGTCTCCTCGCACCGCGCGGCCGCGCAAAGCAAGGGTCGAGGTCCTCAGCCACCGAAGTCGGTCATGTCGCGGTGGATCGCGAAGGAGGTCGCGGCGAGGAAGTCAAAGACTGCCTCGGAGTTGTCGCTATTGATGTTGCCGTGGCCACCAGCGGTGGCAGACGCAGAAGCCGCAGGCGTTGAAGCAACCAGTCCAAGAAGCGTAGCAACTTCGCGGCTCGAAGACGCAGATGGGTTTGAAGTGTTTGACTAGTAGAGACAGGTAGCTGAAGAAAGAGAACAGCATTTCAGGCAGCTCTGTGAGTTCGGGTGGTGCATGAAGGTGACGCGGGTGCCAACCACGTAGCTGCTCGTAAAGGAGTCTCCGACGGTTGAGCTCAGCAGCGCGGGCAGCAGGATCCACGCCATCGTCTTGGAGCGAGGCCTCGGTGGATGCTCTCGGCTGTGCCGAACGCGACCACGACGCCCTGCAGACGTCCTCCGCGATGCGCTGTCGCAGAGCCTCGTAGGAATCGTCGCCCACGTGCGTGAAGAGGTAGTCGAAGTCTCTCGCGTCAAGCTGCGTGATCACGGAGGGTAGGCACCGCGACAACCACTGGTCGAAGTGGTCCAGTTGAGGGTTCTCATAGAAGGCGCTAGGCGACCACCGCTCGGCGATGGAGGCGACGACGTCGGAGAACTCGCTGGGGCGATCGCGGTCGCCACCTGGGCCAGGGCGCTGGCGAGGGCGATGAGGGGGCGTGCCATCGCGAATGGCTGGGGTGGCATCTAGGGGCAGCGCCCCGTCCTTATAGCCCGACCCGCCTGGCCCCAAACGGTGCATGCCCTTGGCCATGAGCTCCGACGGCAACCGATTGCTGGCGAGCAACCTCTGGCCCACGAGCAGAGCAGCGGCGCGCGCAGGGCGGCGCGCACCTTGAGCCCGGTGATCTTGAGGACGCACTGGGAAGCTCGGGGGGGGGGGGCGCCATCGGCTTCACCTGGCGAGTTTGGAACATGCTGATCTTGAGGGTCCTGGGGGCGAGCAGGGGCATCTTGTGCATGCTCACGGGCCTGCGCGCGCAGTGATTCCAAAAGGCGGGTCCTGCTGCGCATTAGGGCGCGCGCGAGGCCGTGAGCCACTCGTCTCAAGGCGATCGGTGGCCGCCCGACAGGCCTGAAGGTGCAGCGCGTAACCGCCAGAGTCGACGCCGGAGAAGTTCTTCAGCTCAAGGGCCATGTGGTGGGGCACGCAGCGTCGACGCGCAGTGGCCCGAAGAGAGCGTTCATGTTGATCAGCAGCAGGGCATTCAGTAGTCAATCCGAGACCGAGGCGGTCCAACGCAGTGACATGGGAAGAGACCCTCTGCAGGCAAGTGTGATGGACCAGACGCCGCTCGCATTCAAGGTAGCGTTGTATCTCATCCCTACCACCGCATCCTTTCACGCAGCGGGCACGATCAGGATGAACATGCGTGCGGTGCGACGCTTGCCATCCCCCTGCCAGGGTGTGCAGCGCTATCCATCGCCGCGTCGGGGAAACACATCCAATGCTTTTACGAAGACGGAGCCAGCGATGTGCGAGGTCTCTCGGGGGCGTGCCTGGGCCATGCCACATGCTGAGGCGCTTGGCAATTGGTTGGTGGCATTTGTCTGGGAAGATCGCGGCCGTCAGGTGGTTGATGCGAGTTCGCTGAAGTCGTGGTCGCTGAAGTGCTTGCGCAGCAACCCCTGCTTGGGCACGGGCAATAGAAGCGGCGCGTAGCAGTGCGGGTCGAATGCGCGCATGCAGTAGCGGCGAGGCTCCCTGATTCAAGTCCAGGAAAGAAAAGGAGACAAGTAACCGCGACCGTAGATCGGAAGCGCGCAGGCAGACATGTCCGCGGCGCCACCGCGAATCTGTCCTGGAGTCTACAAGAGCTTGATTGCATTCGCAGCGCACGGTGCAGCCCGTGAATCTCACGCCTGCTCGCCGACACTGGCATCCAGAAGAACTGCACCAAGTGGCTGAGACCGTAATGCATGATATTTGATACGGCCTCACCATGACATCAGTGGGGACCCCAGTGAGAGAACGCGCAACCAGACGCTCCCGCCACTTCGCGGCCACCTTCATCCACTGACGCTTCTTCAAAACTCCAGGGGCGATTAGCTAAACTATGTCAAGGTCACGGCCCGCGTCGGCAATGGCAAACGAGGTCCTGCGGGAAACTCTGGGTGATGCTGCTGGCGTCAGCCGAAAGAGGTGCCGCTATGGAAAACGAACGCACTTGCTCGCATTCAGCTTGAGGTGTCCATGGTTTTCTGTAAGATCAAAGACCTGGTATAAAGGCGCCAGAAAGCGTAGTCGTGCCAGGTGCGGCCGATTTTCGTCAGCACACGCCGCCGCAAAACCAACGGACTTCACGTGGGGGATCTGGTCAAACGCGCGGTTGATGGCGCCCATCGCGATAGCCCAGATTGTGCCAGACAAGGGGCCCCCTGGGCTGCGTCAGAGCGCATGCAGCAGACGAAGTGGTACTCCCCGTTCAGTGTGTCCATGGCCTGCCCAACACACCAAAGGGACTGCGCTCCATGGATGAAGCCAACGTCGTGACGGATGTTGACGACAGAGGTGAACAGCCAGCGGCGCCCGGGCGACGGACGCTGCGATGTCGAAGAAAGAGAACCTGTGCGGGGACATCCGTGGCCGCCGTCGGAGACCACCCTGGGAGGCGACCCAGTATATCCATGACCGCCATGTTATGACAGAAGTTCTGCCCACGAATACACCCTTGTTGGATGCGGTGTGCCTGTTGTTCGGCGGTGATCTTCATCTGCTCATCTAGGGCATCCGCAACACTTTTGGAGCCTGTGTTCTTCCTGGAAGTCTGACGAAGCGCCCTGGCAGTCCCCGTGCATGTGGCACTGTCCATTTCCTCTGTTCCCTTCGGGATACATGGGGAAGGAATCGTTGAAGGAGGTCGGGGCGCGTCCAGTCTCCATGCGCTGCCGCGCCGCGTCTTCCATCGCGTCAAGAGCCCCCGATGTCGCTAGCCAGGCGCTGTGGGGAAGACGATCTGGGACGGGCGCAGATGCGCGAGCGCGACGGCCGACCCTTCTGAAGGCGTCAACCGTAGGAAGCGGACGGCGCAGTGGTTGGAAGGGTGGCGGAGCTCGCCGTTGGAGAAACTGTCGCAGCCCCTCGAAATCTACCAGCTTGTTCGCGACCAGAGGAAACCAGTGCCGTTGGATTTCGCGAAGCATGCCCATTGGAGACTTAATGACCAACTCCGAGTCAGGAATGCGAATGCCGACCAGCGTGATGACCCTAGCAGAGGCCGCCCACGCACGAGCGCTCCGATGAAGACTGCGGACTTGCTTGTGTTGATGTTCCGCTTCGACGCCCCGATCAGAAAGCTGAGCGCGACGTGCTTGGGCCAGGGCTCGCTGTCGCCGCCATGAGAGGTGTCGGCGATGCGCTGAACGAGAAATCTCAGCGAATTCCGCCTCCGAGCGCAGCTGCACCGCGCCGGAAGGGGCGCGGTGGAAACGGGCCCCCAGGTTATTGCGCGAGACAAGCGCGCGCCAACGTGAGGTCCTGCCGCCGTGCAGCGCGTGAGATAGAACGCGTCGCAATGAATTTGACCTCGTCGACGTATTGATGCTGCCGCCCGCCAGGGAGCCGTAGCATAAAGTTGCGCGTTAACCTCGTGGCCTCCATCATGTGTATTAGCAGCTTTTCTTGGATGCGAGAGTGTGCCATCAGCAGCTCGCAGAGTTGCGTGTGCTGTGGCGTCCAAGAGAGGAAATTTGGATTGGGTCTCGCCGCGAGACCTGTCTGTTTCGCCCTGGCGTGACCACTCAGTTGGCGATCGCTGAACGCGGTCGAGTCGTTGAGGATCGTCAGCTGCATCGACGGGTTGGGTGTCGCATGTGGCGAGGGGCTTGTGAATGCCTCGTCGATCCGCGTGCGCAGCAAGGCGTGCGGGCCAAACCTCGTGGGGCCCCCCGTCGAGTCGAGACTTCAGTGCGCAGCCCAGAGAGACGGCGCCAAAAGGCAAGCTGGAAAAAGTCTCGTCCGATCGCGGGCAGCTGGATCAGCGCCGGTGTGACATGTGACGAGGCGGGCTCATCGTGGACATTGAAATCCCAAAGGACAAAGAAAAACCGTTGTCGCGGTGAGGTCGCGGCCGGCGAACGACGCCTTGCCCGCGCCTTAGCTGCGGCGGCGCGGTGGGGATGATCCAGATCGACGTCGCGCGCGTTCGTGATAGCGGCTGCGCAATCGAAGCCGCAGAAGAATGCGACCATCTGAATCCGGCCAACGACCGCAGATGAGTGCGCCGCGGTATAGCGCGCCGGCGTGGCGTCCGAGGTGGCCAATGAGCCGGTGACGACGGTGCCCGCGGCGCTGTGTCAGCCGCGCCCGCGCCCGCAACAGGGTCCTACCTGGTGACCTCGGCTTCGCTCGGAGCGACATTCGTCGCGGGCGGGGGTGGGGGGTCGACGAGCTCGAGGAAGCGGCTGAACTTGAAGTGGCAGGGCTTGAGCTGGCACGAGGGGGCGGTCTTTGCCTGGCCGAGCCGTCGCGGGTGTTATTTGACGTTTCAAAGTGCACCCGCTCGATGGAAGTGGCACTTGAACTTGGGGGGGTGGGGGGGGGGCGATCTCGACGCGGACGTCGACCATGGGGTAGACGAACTTGAACTTGAAGAGGGCGTGGTAATTGAGGAGGACGAACTCTGACAGGTAGATCTTGACAGCGATTCCCTCGGGGTCGACTGAGGGCCCTGATCACCCGCGAGGTTCGTAACGTCGAGCTTGTTGACCATCGCTGTGGCGCCACCCGTCCCAGCGCGACCCGTGCCACTGTAGAATGCGTAGTAGCGGTGATGACGCGAGGCAGCGAGACGTCGTGGTCGCGCAGCACACCCATGGATCTCCTGCAGGAGTGTGATGTGGCGCATCCGCATGTAGGGGGCCATCATCGCCAACTTGCTCTTGCGCTTCCTTGGGTTGGTCGCCGGGAAGCCCCGAACGTTCCAGGAGACCTTCGGCGAGGGCGGGCCCGCGACCGCACCGTGAAGGTGACCCCCACGACGCTCCGCGATCCCCCGAGGAAAAGTCATGATATGCACGTTCGAGGCTGTCAGTGTCGAGTTGAAGGGCTCGAGCCTGCGCGCAGTTCCAAGTGGCCTTCAATGTGGGCTGCGGTGCCGGCGTCGAGGCGCGCGAGTGGTGCTCCAGCTGCTGAAGTGCGTCCTTTTTGCTTATATGGGCGGAAGTCGAGCTGAGCCTGGGCGTCCTCGAGAAGAAGATGAGGCCGTCGTGTTTGGATTTCCCTCCTGATCTGCCTGGGGCCGCGGTCAGTGGAGACGAAGAGTGGAGCAGTTTGTCGCGGGGCCGCGGTGGCACTGAACTGCCGCCAAGCGCCACCTTCCACTTTAAGACCTCTTGCCAATGCTGCCGCCCGAGGTGTGATGATCGCTTTGCCGCCAAGAAGCCGAAGCGCGAATCGTTTCGCAGGTGCACTCGCCAGCGATGCCCCCGCCATGCCCGCCCCAGAGTCGGCGAAACAGTCCTGAAGAGCACGTTGTCTGAGCTGGGGGGCCATGGGGTCAGGGGCGTCGATCGAGACGACCGCGGGGTCGGGAGGCCTGCTCTGCCTCAGCGATGATGTCAGGAGAAGGAACCTGCGCCTCCGCAGTCGCGAGGGCCCAATGCTCTCGTTGATCGCAGCATACTGGGCTTTTTGTGCGCGTTCAGACTTTGAAATCCGCCGGCGAAGCTGCGCGATCTCACTTTCTGCTGCATCGACACGCTCAAGAACCAACTTCTGCCCAGCGCGACTGTGCGTGCAGTCGAACGCTTGAAGCGTGGAATCGACGTGCGCCATGAGCTTCGCGTAGAGGGACTGGCGGGCCGCCTCGAGGGAGCCAGCATGAGGAGGTCCAGGTCTTGAGGCAGATCATGCAGCCTGTGCTGGTGGAGCCGTTTTTGCTGGGTCTGATCAGCATGTTGGTCCGCATGGGCAGCTCCAGATCCTGTAGCTCCACGTCCGTCGGCTCCTTGATGCCAAGGGTCAACACGATGCACTGGATCCCGGGGGGGACGGGGAGCCAGCTCCTGACACGGGAACGTAGGTGCGTCATCCAGTCCTTCCATGGCTGCTGGAATGGATATCGGCATGGGCGCAGTGGCGCCGCCAAGGCCGCCAGCATCATGGTGTCCGCCTGCTCGACCAGAAGAGCGGCGTTCCCACGGATGACGCCGAGGGGCGGTGGGGCGGTCTCGATCTTCCCGTCGATCACGCCGACGATCTTGATCGTAGTCAGCTGGCTGCCAACGGGAGCGACGAAGGCGATATTCGTCACCGCCACCAGTGCGAAAGGCGCTGCGCTCCGTTCCGTCCATGTCGACACCAGATGCGGGTCCTCTTCCAGGCATGCCGGCAGCAACGCGAAGAGAGCGACCACAACTTCGAGAAGACAGCCGAGGGCCAGGGCGGCGCCACAGCAGCGACGCAGGCGGGGCGCCCGGAACATGAAGGGTGCTGATGGAAACTGGAGTGGGCGCCTACCCCGCTGAGGCAATTATGAAGTAACCGCTTTGGCCTTGAGCCAAAATGGCTTGAGCCAAGAAGGTTACGGAGGAGGAGGAAGAGGAGGAGGAGGAGGAAGAGGAGGAGGAAGAGGAGGAAGATGATGATGATGATGAGGAGGAGGAGGAGGAGGAGGAGGTGAAGGAGGAGGAGGAGAGGAGGAGGAGGAGGAGGAGGAGGAGGAGGAGGAGGAGAGGAGGAGGAGGAGGAGGAGGAGGAGGAGGAGGAGGAGGAGGAGGGAGGAGAGGAGAGGATGAGGATGAGGATGAGGATGAGGAGGAGGAGGGAGGAGGGAGGAGGAGGAGGAGGAGGAGGAGGAGGAGGAGGAGGAGGAGGGAGGAGGGGGAGGCAGGGGGCGGAGGGACCTCCTCACCAAAGAGACACCGTTGCTCCCGAACACAGGGGTTGGGAGAGACTCTCGAGGGCAAGGGCTCTTGTCTTTAATAGCTCGGTGCCTGGGTCGCGTCATGCCCGCTGTTGTGGCAGGCTGGGCCCGCCGCCCTTCATATTTTCGCATGTGGTGACTGTGGTTTATCGCTTCGATGTAGAAAGCAATCGGCGCACGAGCAGCGAGCGGAAGCGGTAGCAACCACAGAGATATACGAACGCCAACGAAATTGGTGGAACAAGCGGTGGGGAAGGGGCGTATGCAGTACGGAGGTGGGGGGCAAGAACGGAGCAGGGGAATATCGGGGCCTCCTACCACAAGACCTCCTTGCATTGAATGCTGGTACATCGAGGAAGAATTTTTGCATTCGACGTGAAACGACGTGCCAGGTGAAGGAGGGCGTCATGCCTCAGGCAACATGTTCAGTGATGTGCTCGATCCGCAGACCCTCGTCGGCACCATCGTACTCCCATAACAACCACTCAGCTTGGGGGAGGAGGAGGAGGAGGAGGAGGAGGAGGAGGAGGAGGAGGAGGAGGAGGAGGAGGAGAGGAGGAGGAGGAGGAGGAGGAGGGACAGGAGGAGCTGGGGAGGCGGAAAGGGAGAGAATGGATGGAAGGACGGTGGGGAGAAGGAACACGAGGAGCGGAGAGGATGGGGAAAACGTCGCAACCCGCTAGGCCTGTGTATGACGAGGAGGGCGGCAGGAGAGACGGGGCTGCAAGAGAGGCTCTGCAAGGAGGTGGCGGCACTCAGGGTATACATCTTCGGTGTCGAATATGATGAACTCCTCCGCTTCTCTGGCCTTCTATGTATTCTGGCTGTTCCGCTGGCCCTCTACTCCTCCTTCCCTTCCTCTCCACCACCTCATACATCTTTCACCCCGGCTGCCCATACATCCCCCGCCATCCCTCGCTCCCTGTACGCCCCCCTGTCAAACCAATTTCGCATTCGCGCGTGCATCTGATACGCCTGGTTCCAGCTCTACATTGGTACTCGCGTGATCGCACTGTCACTTAGCCTTTTCTTGCTCAAGTGCACTTTGCATTGTCTCTCTGCGGTCCTCTCATACCGCATACAAGCGTGTCTCCATGTTTGCTCAATTGCTCACTCGCTCTTTTGCTCACCCGCTCGCTCAATGATTCACTCGCCCACTCGCCCACTTACACACGCACACTGGCACGCTTACAATCTCTCCCTTCCTCAACTCACTCGCCCACCATATGCGGTCCCCCAATCCAGTACAACGTTTCGTGGCCCCATAGGGAGCTCCTCGGAAGCCCCAATGGCTGCACTCGCATGCGGTTCCCCCATCAAGTACAGCGTTCCGTGGCCCCATAGGGAGCTCTACCGAAGGCCACAGTGACTGCACTCGCATGCGGATCCCCCACCCAGTACAACGTTTCGTGATCCCATAGGAAGCTTCACCGAAGGCCCCAGTGGCGGCCACGCCCCATTGGGGCGCACCCTCGAACGTTTCGCGGCCCCGTAGCGGGTTCCACCTAAAGCCCCGGGCCCGGTGGCAACGCCCTCATGCCGGCCCCGCTCCACATCGGCACACCCTTCGCATGCTTATTGGCGATCCCCCGAAGGCGATACCCGCAACGACGGTACTCACAACTGCATATCGTTGGGCCCTTCGCCAAGATAATTTCCACAACGTGGGCTCCCTCCCTCCCCATGAGGCCTGGACCCCTTCCCGCAGACCGGCCTTCGGTCCCGGGCCAGGCTTTCAACGTCCCCGGGGGCCCCGGTGAGGGCCCCGAGGAGAGGCCGACCATGGCTAGAAGAGCTCTCCGTCGTGCCTCTTCTTCGTGACGCGAGGGTGCCAGGGCCCTCCGTGGTCCATGTAGAGAGGCTGGCGTGGCTGTCGACGATGTGGTAGATGTGCTGGTGCAGCTGGGCGCACTGGCACTGCTGCGGACGCCGCCCCGCCTAGTTCGGCACACCTCTCCCTCCTCCCCCCCTCCCCCCCCCCGCCCATCCAGAGTCGTGACAGAACTTTGGCTCCTAAGCTCATGATGGCGGCGTCACTCGGCGGAGCAGTTTCCGATCCGCCAGCTGCTTATGTCTCTGTTGCCCCAAAGCCGGGTCGGAAGTTCCTCCGCACCCTATGAAGCACCGAGCGGGTTGCGCCCGCACGCGGAGTAGTTGGAGCACTACTTACGCCGAACTGCTCCGCCCTGCCGCGCCATCGGCGAAGGCAAATTGTATGAGGCTTTCGTCACGGTGATGTCATCGCCACGCCTTCCTGGCCTCTCCTCGTCCCTCCACTGCCCCGCTCCGCTGCCCCTCCCCCTGCCCCTCCCTGCGCCTCCCCTGGCCCTCCCGTGGCCCTCCTCTTCCCCCGTCCGCTCCCTCCCTGCCTCTCCTTGCCCTTTTTCTTCCCCCCCCCCTGGCCCTGCCCTCTGCCTCGTCCCTCCCCCCCTTCTCCACTGCCCCTCCCCTGGGATGAAACGCAGGGTGGCACTACGGCATGAAACCGATGTAGACGTGAATGGAGATGATGATGATGATGATGATGATGATGATGATGATGATGATGATGATGATGATGATGATGATGATGATGATGATGGTGATGGTGATGGTGATGGTGATGGTGATGATGATGATGATGAAGGTAATGATGATGATGATGGTAATAATGATGATGATGATGATGATGATGATGATGATGATGATGATGATGATGATGATGATGATGATGATGATGATGATGATGATGATGATGATGATGATGTTCTTTCTGTTGTTTCTATGCCGTCGCCCTCTCAAGCCTGCACCCCAACGTTGTGCGCCAGTCTGTGTATGACATATCTTCCTGTCTGTGGCTCAGCCCCCCCCCGGTCACTCCCTCTCGTCCCCCTGCCTCCACTTCCCCTGCTCCTCCCCCCCCTTCTTGGGGAGAGGAGAGGAGATGCGACGTTCGAGGCACCATCGTGGCGCCGTTTCGGGGCACTCTCGAGGGGCATCTTGGGCCCCCTTGGCGCCCTCGGAGGCCCCTCCGGGCCGCCTCGGGAGTCAATCCTTCCTGGAGGCCGTCTTGGGACCGTCCTGGGCCCGTTTTGGGCCCACTGACGCCCGGGGGGCACCCCCGAACGTCTCCACGTGAGGACCCAGCCCCCCGGCAGCCCGAGAGGAAGGCCTGCGCGCGCCCCTGCGCGCAGCCGGGGGTGTGGGGGGGGGGGGGCGCGGCGGGTCTCCGGTCGGACTGGCCGTGGCCGTCGTCACCGTCTCCGTCTCCGTCGTCGTCGTCGTCGCCGTCGTCGTCGTCGTCGTCGTCGTCGTCGTCGTCGTCGTCGTCGTCGTCGTCGCTGCCGCACTGAGCGGAATCGCTCGTCGTCCGTCGTCGTCCCTCCCCTCCCCGCCCCTTCCCATCCAGCACACGGGATCAATTGAGGAACACTCCACTCCCCCCCCTCCCACAAAACTCAAAGTCGGCACGTTTTGGGAAGACCTCGGCGAAGTGTGCGCCATCAGATCCACCGCCAACGCTGATCATCATGGGGGTACGGGGGCCAGTATCACCACATGTTGGCAGCGCGCACCAGGGGGTAGGGGGAAGGGGGACAACTCCTTAGAAGGAGGCTGCTTCTTAGAAGGCACCGGCCCTACACTTTCAGACAAGGCCCGCGCCTTCTAAGAAGCAGGGGTGCCTCTCAGAAGCCTTCCCCCCTCCCCCTACCTCCCTCTGCGCGTGGCCGAGCATGGCGGGCTCTGGAGAACTTGCACCAACAACAGCTTACGCCATCTCTTGGGAAGGTAACTTTTGCATCCGCCGACCTCCGCCAACCTTCCGCCAGCTTCCGTCGGCGAAGCCGCCACCGTGCCACTTCCGCTGCGTTCCGCCGGGGAAGAGGTGCCAACTCCCTCGAGGGTCGAAGGCGAGGCCTTTTTTTCTGGAGCGCCGTACACGAATGTGGCACGAGCGTGAACTTCATTTTTTTTTGTTGTTCCCCCCCCCCCGAGGCCTGTCTCTCTCTCTCTCTGCCTCCCTGCCTCCCTGCGTCCCTGTAGGTGTTGGAGGTCTTCTTGCGGTCCCCCAGGATGCTGTCGTACGGGCCTGCCCTGCCGCCCGCGCGCGTCGCAGCACGGGCCCTCGCCTCGAAGCGGGGGGCGCAGGCAGCCGCGAGCGCGGAGCGCCCGTGAGACAGCACGCACGCGCGGCGGAAGCGCTCGATGGGGGAGGAGGAGGGGGAGGAGGAGGAGGAGGAGGAGGAGGAGGCGGAGGCGGAGGCGGAGGAGGAGGAGGCGGAGGAGGAGGAGGAGGACGAGGCTACGAGGCTACGAGGCGAGGCGCGCGCGTCCGACGGACGAACGCGCGGCGGCTGAGGCGGGGGCCAGCAGGCCCCTCCACAAAAATCAAACTCCAGAGCACCTGCCGAACTCGCTGTCGACGCCGTACTCCAATACAGCAGTGCCACGGACTCGCGGGGACCTCCCCCAGCCCACTACCAGCCAGAACTGGCAGCCGATGCCCCCGCCAGATGCGGGGGCAACAACCAATCCATTGCAGTACCAGCCCAGCGCCAGCCAATGAATAAATCTGCTGCACACAATAGACCTGTAGTGCATCGTCGAACCAAGTCGTAGCTGCCGTGGCCACTCCAGACGGAAGGCAAGCCGCCTGCCACCAACCGGCGGCCAGAATCTCCCTCACGGGACGCTTCCGAGAGACTGGAGGGAGGCAGTGCAGGAGGCAAGCGCGACCATCACCAATGGTCGGCCAGAACTCCCTCACGGGACGCTCCCACACCACCTCTTGGCCACAGCGTGCCCCCCCCCGCCAGAAGGCAAGCGCACCCGTCGCCAACGGGCGGCCAGAACTCCCTCACGGGGCGTTTCTGAGACGAGCAGGGGGGGCAGGTACACGCAATACCGATGCACTGGGCTCGCGGGGACCTCCCCCAGCCCACTACCAGCCTGGGCTGACAGCTGCAGACCCGGCCAATGCGGGGTGAATACAATAGCATACATTGACCCACCAGCATAAGCCATTCCAGTGCACAGAATAGCATACAGTACCAGACAAGACCTGCCAGCCAGCCAACTCCCTTCAACAGACACGGATGCTAAAGCACCTCGCGCGACTTGGGATGTTTGCCAGCCATGAGCAAACGTATTCGGCCACGAACATTGGAAATGTAAGACGCCGCCTTACCTTCTCCAAAAGGAAAACCTTCGCATGGACGGTGGAGAGCCGCTGAGTGCCCCGCCCCCGACCATGAAACACACTTCTCACATAATACAATAGCACCTGCACGTCTGAGTCGGTGTCCATCATGCTCAACCAACTCATGCTCATCCCATATAGATACCGCACTCTCCAACACTGGCACAGGGACCCCCTCCTCCACATCAAAGCGATCAGCAGCCAACAACGCCAACTGCACCGCGCGGTGTGTGGGGAGGGACTGGGCGCCATACTTCCGAACATGAGCTTCAGCTCGAAATCGATCAGTAGCATTAGGCGTGCACTCAGAACGATAACGCTGCCCAAATGTCGGCCCACTCTCCAACGCAGTGGAGCGACGCCACGACCTGCATAAGATGAACCCAGTATCAAGGCGAACCAATTTGTGCTCAACAACCGTAACCGGCGGAAGAGGAAACGAAGGAGCATGCACAGGAACAAATTGATGTTCAGGGTCCCATCCACCAGCCGTGCGCATCCTATGCATCGCCCACGCCATGTACTTAGCCACACACTGGTGCCTCTTGAACTCCACCTGGTAAAATTCCTCGTGCCCCTTGCTGACTCTGTGCTCGAGCGCGCCCGCCCGAGCAAACCAATCAGCCCAGCCATCTCCAAGACAAAATAACTGCGGAATGCACAACTGTCCATGCTCATCGACGGACTTGTGCGAGGGCACCCAGAAGAACCGCGGCCGCCGATGCCCTGCGACAGCCTTGATCTGTCTCCAAATCGTGGCGTGAGTACGCGCAGCACCGTCCAGGTCATCCTTCCAAGCGTTGCCTTCGTCACACAGCGCCAGAAGGTCCGTGCACAGGAACTCGAAATCGCCCAGCAATTTGAACGCCATGTACACCGCGTAGCGCTCGGCGCGCCCAGCAGACTGCAGAACGCCTGACAAAGCTCCGTACGCAGCGCGCAGTGGGAGGCCTGCTTCACTCAGCATGACAAAGGCCCATCCACAGCGCATCAATTCAGGAACCGCCGAAGCAAAACCAGATCCATCAGAGAAAACGATATTCCCACGATTCACCTGCCCGCTCCAATCACCCCAGAGTGCGTAGTCTTGCTGCGCCCGCGGAGCCGCCATTGCTGGCGGCAAGCACAGTAACGCAACACCGATGTCAAAAGCGTCCCAACACGGCTCGCCCAACCCCTTCAGGCCTTGGTCGTACATGTACTGCCGCGAACCCTGCAGCAGCTCGGGGACAGCTCCTTCGTTCTCCTCGGCCTCATTCAACGGCACGAGCAAAGGGGCACAACCATAACACCGATGCCCAGGAGTATCCTCATAATGACCACAACGCAGACACTTCGGTGAGTCCGCGAGACCAACCGAGAACTTCATGCCTTGCGTCCAATGGACCCTGGCCCAGTGAGCCCTCAAAGACGCAGCATTCGCCTTGTCCGAGACCGCAGCCTTGCGCCCTCCAACACAAGAACGTAAAGCACGCATCCAGAGCCTGGGCACTTCGAACTGGTGACCAAACTTCTGAATGATACGCTGACCCTGCCATCTCGAAATACCTTGACATAAAAGCCGCCAAACGTTCTTGTGCGACATCGTGAGGAGGGGCACGTGCTCTTCTTCATCCGTGATCAGCACCGTTGGCGAGTACATAGCCCAACCAATCCTCCATAAAGAAAGGGTAACAGCACCTATAGGACGTTTTGCATGCCTCCAACCAACGTGTTGGTTACCCCGACCCAAGCTCGATGCAACCTTCACAGTTGAAGTCCTCGCCTCCCAAATCCAAGACGCATATCTGACCACCAAATCACAGATAGCAGCATACATCGGGTCATACTCAGGCGACCTCTGAGTCGCCAGGTAGAGGGTAAGCGATGACGATCCAGCTCGTGCCCCCACCAGAAGACCTGCAGTGGATCGAAGCTTCGCTAGAACCTCGTCAGTCCGCCCCGATGCACCTGCTCCGTGAGCCGCCGACGGCATCAGCCCCGTCTTCCACAAGCATCCTACCTTGTGGCCCACAGTGCGCCTGAACAACATCACCCAGCATGCATCCTGTCCTGGCTCGTCCCGAGGAGCGGCCCGAGGGCAACAACACTGCGGCGTCGCCGGGTGGCTGCCCCCGCGTGCGGGTGGTCACGATGAAGGTGGGCTGACTGCGAAGCGGGCATTTATCCATATCCACCGCCTGGGAAACGACGTCCTGGTGCCCCTGCGGGCGGTGGATCTGGATATATTTTGGCCCCCGGGGGCCCGAATATATCCGTATCCACCGCCTGCGAGGTCCCCGAAAATTGATCCTCCAGGCGGTGGTCATATACAAATTTCCGCCTCGGACTGACGGTGGCGATCCTGATGGCCCAAATTTTTCGACGGGCTGCGTTTTTTCGATCCTGGCGGCTTTCCTCGCTTTCGGTGTCGGGGGGCTGTCTCCCTGACCTCCCACGAGGGCTAAAAAACAATAGCACCAGGACCTTGGCGTCTCCATTCCTGTCGAGGCTTTAAGCAGTCCAGATAGGTCTATAGGTCTGGAGGGCTATGTTGTAGCACTCTGGAAGGTCAGGGCTTCGGACCCCGGGACCGTCAGACATGGATCCGGAACGAAAAATTGACCTCCAAGGAAACGGTTGGGTCTTCTGGCGCAGCGCGGACTGGGAAAATCAGACTGACGGCCGTCAGGGGATGGCGCTGCATTGACGGATATGACGGTGACGATAGCGATGTCGCCGCGCCGTTTGTCCTCGACGCGTCCAAGTGGACGACGCCGACACCAAGGCAAATCCACGGCAAGCCTGGCGCCCAGCGCCCGAGTGGGCGACGCCGGCACCGCGGCAAACCCAACTCGCCCGAGGCGGCGTTTGCCCTGGTGGCTGAAGCGCCCTCCCCAAGACGGAAGGCCGCGCGTCGGAACGAACAGCGCGGCGACATATGACTGCGACGATGACGACAACGATGATGGCGACGACGACGATGCTTACTAGCCGGCCGCTCTGCGGTTGATCGGGAGTTTCTGTATATAGAACAAGGGACGTGCGCTTCTCGGCGAGAGGACAATTCTCGAGATGAGAATGAGCGCGAGGATCAGGAGGGCGAGGCCCGCGAGGGGGAGGATCAGGAGAGTGAGGGTCACGCGGGCGAGGATCAGGCGACCGCGGAGCAGGAGGGTGAGGTTGTGGAGGAGGGCGACGACGACGACGACGATTACTATTTCGAAGATGGTGATGGGGGCCCACGCGGCACGACCACACGGGGCGGACAAAGGGGGGCGGGGAGAGCAGAGGGCGGGGTAGCGAATCGGCAGCGTGGAGCCAGGCTCAGGTCGGGCATGCCCCCCTACAGGCGGATTTTGGACGAGCAACAAATCAGGGAAACAGTGCAAAAATAGTAAAACAAATCGTACCCAGACTTGTGACTATTTGGGCTATTTAGGACTTTTTTTTTTTTTGTGTGTGTGTGTGAAGGGGCAGGCCCGACTTCAAGCCAGGCTTCCCCGGCGCCCCCCAAGCGCATGGGGGGGGCCACGGTGTGGAGGGAGGGGGCCCGGCGCCAGAGCCGAAGCAAGCTGCGCTGCAGCAGCTCTCGTGGCCCGCCCAACTTTCCTCCTCCTCCTCCCCCTCCTCCTCCACCCTCCTCCTCCTCCTCCTCCTCCTTCTCCTCCTCCTCCTCCTCACAAGTCACCCAACTTGGCGCCCCGCGCCCCGCGATGCGACGGTCATCCTCGCGCCCTCCCGCCGCCCCCTGGAGAAACTGGAGAAAAAGCCAGCTCGTGGCCCCGGCCGCGACGCGCGAAAAATGATCATCTTCGCGCCCCTGGGGGCGAACCAGCCTTCCGCTGAACATGAAAAGTTGCCATATACAATCAACCCGTGTGATTGGGACGCGCGAACAGGATGCAAGGGCCTGGACGCCCGTGCCGAGGCTCTGCGAGCGGGGCTGGCCCTCGAAAGTGGTTGAGGATGGGCCAAAGCTGACCAAAGAGGCAAGGATGCAAGGGCACCCCTGGGACATCGATCACTCTTCCTGTGCGGGTTGACTGCATCAGCTTTCAGACGTTCGCTCGGATTCCTTGTTGGAGCCCCCTCTCAGCTGGCGCTGGACCCTCCCCCGCTGGCGGTGCTTCCGGTGCCGCCACTGGCGCGCCGGAAGCGCCCCAAGCAAGGGGGTTCGATACCGATCTTAGAGATACACGTGAACGTACGTTTTCTTAGTCGGCGTTTCGACATTGGGCGAAAGGGGGGGAGGGGGGGTCCAGTGCTCCAGACCTCTGCTTAGTGCGTCTGTTTGCAACAGTGCCTTCTGGGGGAATCCTAATCCGATTCGAATCCATTGGAAGCCGATTGAAGTCCTCAATATTTGAAAGTGCAGGGGATCCCACAACATAATTTTTTTGGAGGTCCGCGTGGCGCGGACCTCCGAAAGCTTATGCCAAGTACCATGTTTCTTCGTCGGTCCTGTCTGACCCGATCCACTCCCGATCCACGGGCATCCGACGTCCGGTGTTTTTCGCAGCAAGGCTCCCCAAGTCTGGACCCCTGTCCTGGGGACCGGCTGCTCCTCGCGAACAGACTGCTGACCGCCATGGGGGCCCGGGGAGGGCCCCCAGAGGCCGAAGCCCGTACTGGAGTCCAGTGGGGGACCCAGGGCCCAGGCAGGGTCCCCGGGAGGCCGCAGTCTGCAGGAAACCGCCCGCCGTGAGCGTGCCCGACGCCGCGAAGGAACCGGGGCTCGCCCGACCCGATCCGCCCCCGCCCTCCACGCACGGAGGGTTCCCCGGGCCCAGGAGGGGCCTCCTCTGGCCGACCCTGGTTAGGACATGTTTCAAATAGCGCCTACCTTGGCATCCGCCGTTTTTTTGTTGTTGTTGCTGTTGTTGTTGTTGTTGCTGCTGTTGCTGTTGCTGTTGCTGTTGCTGTTGTTGCTGTTGCTGTTGCTGTTGTTGTTGCTGTTGCTGTTGCTGTTGTTGTTGTTGTTGTTGTTGTTGTTGTTGTTGTTGTTGTTGTTGTTGTTGTTGTTGTTGTTGTTGTTGTTGTTGTTGTTGTTGTTGTTGTTTTGTATTTTCATTTTCCCTTCAAGCCGCGACCACGGGGGCTCCAGCGGTTTCCCTGGGGGTCGTTTTTCGTCCCAGATCCATCTCTGATGGTCCTGGGGCACGAAAGCGGCTTCTGATGGCTGACATCAAGGAAGTCCGCTGCGACGGAACAAAAATCCTACCGTCGGAGATCTGGGTCATCGTGGTCACACCCAACATCCTATCTTTATCATCGCTGCCCCCACCTGGCGGCAACCACTGACGACGCCACACTCGGGTCGGGCGAAAGGGGGGGATAGCAAAGGGGGGGTTTGAGAATCAGCTCACGCAGCTGATTTTCCCGGCGCCTCCCGGCGCCGGAGGCGGCCATGTATCGAGGAATTGGCCTTTCGGTGAGGCCGAAACCAGCTGCATGCAGCAAATTTCGTAACCCCCCCTTTCCCAATCCCCCCCTTTCGCCCGGCCCGACACACTGTGGTCCTTGGGCAGCCTTTCGGCCGGCCCCGATCTGCCCCCCAGCCGGCCCCCACCCTCTATGCAGTCGCTGGTCAGCTGGTCCGAGTCCGGCGTCCTGCCGCGTCGAAAAAAAACGCGCGCCGGCGCGCGGCGGCGCGCGCGGGCTCGCGCGCGCCGCCCGGCCCTGTGAAGGGAGGGCCTCCAAGCGCCAGTGGAGCTCCTCTTCTGTGGTAGAGGCTTCCCAGATGGTGTCCGAATCAATGGGCTCGGAGGAGCGCGCCGCGTCGCCAATGCGTCGGCGATGCGTTCGGCGACGCCGGCGATGCATCGGCGCCATCGGCATGGGGAGAGGTTTCGGTTCCACATCGAGCCGCGTCGTCGATGCCCAGGCAGTGCGGAGCGATCCTCCGACACCGTCTGCTCCGATCCCGTCTGGAAGGCCCAGAGGCGGGCGCTCCATCCTTCCGCTGTGGCCATGTGCCCACCACAGGCCGCGCCGGCGGCACGAGGCCTCGAGCAGCCCTGGCTCCAAGTTTCTTGAAGGACAGGCAGCCCCTGTTCGGCTTCCCCTCGCGCGAGGGCTCCCAGAGCTTGGGCCGAGGAGGTCAGAACCAGAAGGAGGCGGGTCCTGGAGGAAGCGGGCCTGGGAAGCTGGCGTGCTGACCGGAGGCAGCCTCCCGCCATCCAGGTGGCTCTGTCGCTGCGCCTGCGCGCGGCGGGTTCTCTGAGTTCCGCTTGCACGGGATGGGCGCGTCGTTGCTGCCTTGGGACTGCTCCAGCGCCGGTCCTGGAGGTTCTTCGCCGCTTTCGGGCCTTTGCGATCCTCCACGGGCACTGGGGCCCTCCAGAAACGACTCCGGGCGAAAAACTAGCCTGGGGGCTGGGGCCCGCTCCCTCAAGACCCCTTTCCGTCGTGGCGACCTTGGGCCGAGGAGGAGGAGGAGGAGGAGGAGGAGGAGGAGGAGGAGGAGGAGGAGGAGGAGGAGGAGGAGGAGGAGGAGGAGGAGGAGGAGGAGGAGGAGGAGGTGGATCCCCCCCTTGCCCTCGGCAGAAATATCCTGGCCCGGGTTGCCCCCAGCTCCCTGCACACTTTGGTACTTCCCGCGGCCCTCTGGGCTTGGCACAGGGGGCATCCTGGAAGCCCGCTGGGGGCATCCCTGAACAGAGCGGTGGCGCCCCAGTCCAAGGGCGACTTCGGCAATGGCCGGCCATCCCCCTTTCTCTCTCGGGGCTGCCGGAGGCGTCCCTTGCCCGAGGTAGCCCCAACTTCTCGTGCCGCTCTGGAGGACCTGCGCCCCGCGGGGGGCGCTCTGGGTGCCGCGGGGGGCCTTTCTGGAAGTCCTCGGGGCACCCTGGGCCAGGGGCCTACGTTGGCAACACCCGACCCCTCCTCCTCTCCTCTTCCTCCTCTTCTTCCTCTTCCTCCTCCTCCTCCTCCTCCTCCTCCTCCTCCTCCTCCTCCTCCTCCTCCTCCCCCTGCTCCTCCTGCTGCTCCTCCTCCTCCTCCTCCTCCTCCTCCTCCTCCTCCTCTCCTCCTCCTCCTCCTCCCCCTCCTCCTTTCTCCTCCTCCTTCTCCTCCTTTTTCTCCTCCTCCTTCTCCTCCTCCTCCTCCTCCTTCTCCTCCTCCCTCTCCTCCGCCTCCTCCTCCTCCTCCTCTTCTCCTCCTCCTCCTCCTCCTCCTCCTCCTCCTCCTCCTCCTCCTCCTCCTCCTCCTCCTCCTCCCCCTCCTCCTCCTTCTCCTTCGCCCCCCCTCCTCCTCCTCCCCTCCCCCTCCTCCTCCTCCTCCTCCTCCTCCTCCTCCTCCTCCTCCCCTCCTCCTACTCTTCCTCCTCCTCCTTCTCCTCCTCCCTCTCCTCCGCCTCCTCCTCCTCCTCCCCTTCTCCTCCTCTTCTCCTCCTCCTTCTCCTCCTCCTCCTTCTCTCCTCCTCCTCCTCCTCCTCCTCCTCCTCCTCCCTCTCCTCCTCCTCCTCTTCCTCCTCCTCAGGCTCAGGCGTGGTTTCTCGGCATCGGCAGACTTGGCCCCATGCTCCCCATGGGAAAGCCTTGGCCCCGCTGCCCGACCTATTTTCGAAAGTGTGGTGGGGGGGCAGATTTCTGTCTCCGTCCGGCCTCGCGGCGCCCAGCCCCAACCTCGAGGGGGCAGGCCGGTGGCGCTGCAGTCAACCCATACAATGAGGGTGCGCGGTAAGGATGCAAGGGCCTTGGAAGGCCATGTTGACACTCTGCGAGCGGGGCACGGCCGGCGAAAGCGGCCAAGGATGGGCCGAAGGGGAAGGATGCACGGGTCACCTTGGAAAGTCGCTCATCCTTGCTATGCGGGTTGACACGCACGCACGCTGCCCAGGCACCCGACGTCGTGACTCTTTTACGGCGTGGCGCCCCAAAAGTCTGGACCCCTTCCCAGAGACCGCCTTTGCACCCCGAGTCGTTTTTCCTCTTTTGGCAAGCGCCCAGTAGGGCCCCCAAAGGCCGAAAATTGCCGAACATCTCGTTTTTATTCAACATATTCCCCAAAACAGTGCTTGCACTAAGGGATTCTTGCTCTTGTCATAAAGAACTGAACCTGTTTGGCGGTCTAGCGGCTCCGTGGTCGCCGCCGCCGGCCAGTCGCCGCCTCGTCGCCGCCCATGGTCTGGGCCTGTCTGGCGGTCTGGCAGCTCCGTGGACTCGTCGTCTGGGTCTGCGTGGCGGTCTGGCGGCTCGGTGGTCACCGTCGCCACATCGTCGCCGCCCTAGGTTGCACTACGAGGATTGCACCGCCTAGATTGTACCGCGTAGATCGCACCGCATGGAGTCCACAACATAGATTGCACTACTTCTGTTGCACAACATGTACTGCACCGCATAGATCGCACCACATGAACTGCACAGCATATGATTCACCACGCAGGGTGTACAACATATTTTGCTCCATATATAAAGAACAATATGCACCACGCGTTGCACAACATATATCGCACCACATATGTCATCACATCGGCTACAAAGCATATGCTGCGCCACATATCCTGCACACCATAGAGTGCACAACACATATAACCACTTATATTGCACAGCACATCACACATCACAACAACTGTATAGCAACGGTTGCGCAACATAGAGTGCACAACACGTATTGCACCACAAAGATCGCAACACATGGGTTGCACGCCATATGTTGCACCACATAAATGGTATTACATAGACTTCGTCGCATATATTGCACCACGTATAGTGCACATTATAAGTGCACATAATATATTGCACCACCTGTGTTACCACATTGGGGCGCAACTTTAGCACAACACAAGTTGCATCACACATGTGGCACAACGCATGACGCACCACATTGATTGCACAACACCGTTTTCACCGCATAGATCACAACACATGGACTGCACGACACAGATGACACCACATGTATTGCATCACGTAGACTGAATAGCACGTGCTGCACCACATATAGTGCACGACATAGACTGAAACAACATCGATTGCACCGCATAGATCACAACATATGGTCTGCACGACACAGATGCCACCACATATATTGCATTACGTAGACTGCATAGCGCATGTTGCACACATGTAGTGCACAACATAGACTGCGCAACATCCATTGCACCACATAGATCACAACACATGGACTGAACGACACAGATGCCACCACATATATTGCATCACGTAGACTGCATAGCACATGCTGCACCACATATAGTGCACAACATCGACTGCACAACATCGATTGCACCACATATACTGCACCACGCAGATTGCACCACATATATTGAACACACCACATACGTTGCGCAACATAAGCTGCTAGAACACACTGTTTGGGGTCCACACTAGCTAACACTTTTGATCGTATGCGTAAGCGTGTGTGTATATACATGTACATACATACACATGTAGGTACATGCACACATACACACATACGCACACACATACATACAAACACATAAACAAACAAACAAACATACATACATACATACATACATACATACATACATACATAAATACATACATACATACGTACGTACACACATACATACATACATACACATACATACATACATGCATACATGCATACATGCATACATGCATACATGCATACATGCATACATGCATACATGCATACATGCATACATGCATACATGCATACATGCATGCATGCATGCATACATGCATACATACATACATACATGCATACATACATACACACGTACACACATAAACATATGTGTAGTGACGCGAGGATGTCAGGGATTCGGGGTGGGGACCAGACTGACAATGCCGAGCTGCTGGCAGCGGCGGGGCTCCTCTCGTCGCAGTACCGCACGCGGCCCCCTAGCACCCTGCCGGCACCGCGGAGGCGCAGCGTGCGCGCTCGCGCGCACGCGCCAGGAGGGCCGAAAACGACCCATCGACTTCGCGAATGAATGACCCTTGGCAAGAGTGCCTTTTGGTGAAAGGTTTTAGGGAGCCGCGCGGGGAGGGCCATAGCCACCTGGTCGCGCTGCATAATGGGGGGGGCGATGAAAGGGTGGGGGAGTGCGGGGGGGAGAAACACCTTTAGGCCCGCGCGAAGTTTCCCTTTGGCGAGGGGTCAATCTTACGCATGGTCGAACCCAGTGCGCGAAGTCCAAACGGACGTTCGGGCTGAGAGCTCCTGGGCCCCACGTGGCCAGCTTCAGAAAACCTGAGAACCATAAGAATTGTCATCTCTTCGCGAGCGCCTCTTTTACTTCCGCGGGCTACCGCCGAAGAAACAGCTCCTGTTTTGCTTCCGCCGCCCTTCCGCCATCTTCCGCCGCGGAAGCAATTCTTTGGGTCCTCGAAGGCGGGGCCTTTTGTGGAACGTCCCACGTGTTGAAATCACAGCGTTTGAAGTCTGGGGCAGCCTCGCGATTGCCCCAGGGGTGCTCCACTGGGGTCCTGTGCTGCCAGGCCGAGCCCCGGAAATGGCCTCGAGGAGGTTGCGTGTCCCGACCCGGCTGCCCTCAGATCCCAAACCCATCAGATGGGGGACGGGCGGATGCCAACGGCGAAGTCCTCCGTGCG